AAAGGAATGCTGTGATCACCAATAGTCAGCATGGATTTCTGAAAAATAAGTCATGTCAGACTAACCTGATCTCGTTTTTTGACAGAATTACAAGCCTGGTAGATGAAGGGAACGCAGTGGATGTAGTCTACCTGGATTTCAGCAAGGCATTTGACAAGGTGCCCCATGATATTCTTGTAAAGAAGCTGGTAAAATGCGGACTTGACTATGCTACCACTCAGTGGATTTGTAACTGGCTGACTGACCGAACCCAAAGGGTGCTCATCAATGGTTCCTCTTCATCCTGGAGAAGAGTGACTAGTGGGGTGCCACAGGGTTCTGTCTTGGGCCCGGTCTTATTCAACATCTTTATCAACGACTTGGATGATGGACTCAAGGGCATCCTGATCAAATTTGCAGATGACACCAAACTGGGAGGGGTGGCTAACACCCCAGAGGACAGGATCACACTTCAAAACGACCTTGACAGATTAGAGAACTGGGCCAAAACAAACAAGATGAATTTTAACAGGGAGAAATGTAAAGTATTGCACTTGGGCAAAAAAATGAGAGGCACAAATACAAGATGGGTGACACCTGGCTTGAGAGCAGTACATGTGAAAAGGATCTAGGAGTCTTGGTTGACCACAAACTTGACATGAGCCAACAGTGTGACGCGGCAGCTAAAAAAGCCAATGCAATTCTGGGCCTCATCAATAGGAGTATAGCATCTAGATCAAGGGAAGTAATAGTGCCACTGTATTCTGCTCTGGTCAGACCTCACCTGGAGTACTGTGTCCAGTTCTGGGCACCACAGTTCAAGAAGGACACTGACAAACTGGAACGTGTCCAGAGGAGGGCAACCAAAATGGTCAAAGGCCTGGAAATGATGCCTTATGAGGAACGGCTAAGGGAGCTGGGCATGTTTAGCCTGGAGAAGAGGAGGTTAAGGGGTGATATGATAGCCATGTTCAAATATATAAAAGGATGTCACATAGAGGAGGGAGAAAGGCTGTTTTCTGCTGCTCCAGAGAAGCGGACACGGAGCAATGGATCCAAACTACAAGAAAGAAGATTCCACCTAAACATTAGGAAGAACTTCCTGACAGTAAGAGCTGTTCGACAGTGGAATTTGCTGCCAAGGAGTGTGGTGGAGTCTCCTTCTTTGGAGGTCTTTAAGCAGAGGCTTGACAACCATATGTCAGGAGTGCTCTGATGGTGTTTCCTGCTTGGCAGGGGGTTGGACTCGATGGCCCTTGTGGTCTCTTCCAACTCTATGATTCTATGATTCTATGATTCTATGATTCTATGATCTTGATGAGATACTATCATCTGAACAGGGCCATTGCATCTTTCATTTCATTTCTCCTTCCACCAGGGATGCCATACAAGAGCCATTTTGTTGTGCATCAGTTTGCCACAGATAGGTGAAACATTTGCTGCTCAGAGCTTGCATGCCTATTGAGACAAACCAAATGACAGAAAGGACCCCAGTGTGATGAGAAGAAGAAAGAAGTTTAAGGGAACAGAAAACTGGATTATTGTATTAAACCTTGACTACATATAGTGTGTGCTGCGTATCTGAATATGAAAAGGCAATTTTTCCCCCAGGGAATCTGTTTGAAATCCAGCCATAGGGCATGACTTTAACCTTTGAATTTTAAGGTTCATTTCATAACAGCTCCCTTATAAGTGAGAGGGAACACTAAACAAATTTTCCCCCTTTTAAGGATGGATAAATAAATATACCACAATAAGAGGTGCTCCTGTTATAGCAACAGTATAAACAGCTCTATGCTAAGCTTGTTAAATGTATTTTGAATCCCATGATACCTAGCGTTCATGGTTGATAATCTATACTATTATAAATGACTGACTTGATTCACTTACAGTCTTTAATCAATGCTGCTGGTGTGTGTGTGTGTGTACTTCCTGATTTTAAAATAAATGCTGTGCTGTTAGAGGACAGAAATGTTTTATATTGCATAATATTACATAAGAACACTTAAAATTTGCCGCACTGAAAAGTAAGATGATATTAAGAGAGTAAATAAATCCTATGCCTTCAGGCATAAATGATTGCTGGCGGGACTCAAGGAAAATACTTCTGGCATTATCCTACTACTAGTACACTTTCCTACTACTCCACAATATTTTCCCACATGTGCAGTTACAACTGCACTGTTGCTGCAAAAAACAGCTTTGTGTGCAAGTCATAGGTAAAACAGAATAAACTGCTGAATATAAGTACAGTGCAAAAATCTGGTGAGGGAACGAAGTCTAGGCAGTGGCACAAACAATTAATAAAGCCATGTAATTTGAAGACAAGCCTTTTTCAGGCTGAAATTGTATATGCAGTTTCCTGTGAGTGTGCTCCATTGAACTCAGTGGATTTAGTTTTAAGTAAGGCTATATAAAATTGTACTGTCAGTGTAAGTATGTTGCTATTTTTAAATGTTTGAGTACATGTTTCACTAGAATGTGTTGAGTGTATAGATACTTTATGCCCCATTTGGTTTTTCAAATTTGCTCCCTTTTTTGAGGAGAATGCAGAGACGGATGCTGTTCTCTGGCATATGACCGGAAATGTTTGGAGGTGTTGTAGAAAGAGGAATCTGGGATGGAGCTGTGTGATCTGACAATTCTAGTCCATTATGTTCTGAGGGCCACATTCTGTATTTCTGCCACACTTGTCCCTTTGCTGCGGTGTTCAAAACTGAGGTATGAAAGCTAGGCGCTATATGGCACCTTAAACCTAGGTTATGAGCGCTGCAACAGAATGTCTAGGCACACTTTTTAAATAACAAGAATACAAAGCTGAAAATGAATGAGCTGCAGTTAAGATCTTACTCATTTTTCACATGGTCTAGTGCTCATCTGAAGACTGCAAAAAACAACAACAACCAAACAAACAAACAAAGAACCCAAAGCCATCCATCCCCTGCCCGCCCCCCTAATATTTTTATGAGGGTTTCTTCTCCAGTCCTAAGAGAGTGGCCTGGAAGTGGGGAGGCAGAAAAAGGTCCTCCTTTCACTCCAGCAGTGGCAGTTTTAATCTGAAATCTTAGGTGCAGTACTGCTCCCAAAGCTCGGAAACTGCTCACATTAATACTAATGCTACTAATACAACTAATACTAACAGTGGCGTAGCGTGGGTTGTCAGCACCCGGGGCAAGGCAAGTAATTTGCGCCCCCCTAACCCGTGGATTTGCGCCCCCTAACCCGTGGATTTGCCTAACCCCCAGATGTTGCGCCCGGTGCGGCCGGCCCCCCTGCACCCCCCACGCTACGCCACTGAATACTAATAATACTAATAATTTATTTATACCCTGCCCATCTGCCTGGGTTTCCCCAGTCACTCTGGGCAGCTCCCAACAGAATTTTAAACAGAATAAAACTTCAAACATTAAAAACTTCCCTAAACAGGGCTGCCTTCAGATGTCAGATAGTTGTTTATTTCCTTGACATCTGATGGGAGGGCATTACACAGGGCGGGTGCCACCACTGAGAAGGCCCTCTGCCTGGTTCCCTGTAACCTCAGTTCTTGCAGTGAGGGAACCACCAAAGTCCCTTGGTGCTGGACCTCAGTGCTGAACAATGGGGGTGGAGACACTCCTTCAGGTACACTGGGCCAAGGCCATTTAGGGCTTTAAAGGTCAGCACCAGCACTTTGAATTGTGCTCGGAAACGTACTGGGAGCCAATGTAGGTCTTTCAGGACCAGTGTTATGTGGTCTTGGTGGCCACTCCCAGTCACCAAGTCTAGTTGCCACATTCTGAATTAGTTGCAGTTTCTAGGTCACCTTCAAAGGTAGCCCCACGTAGAGCACATTGCAGTAGTCCAAGCAGGAAATACAGTGGTACCTCAGTTGAAGAACAGCCCTGTTTACGAACTATTTGGTATACAAACTCCACAAAACTGGAAGTGTTCTGGTTAGTGAACTTTACCTCTGTCTATGAATGGAAGCCGAACAGTGGAAGGGTACCAGTGGCAGGAGGCCTTATTAGGAAAAGCACGCCTCAGTTTAAGAACAGCTTTTGGTTTAACGGACTTCCGGAATGGATTAAGTTCGTAAACCGAGGTACCACTAACTAGACCACTCTGGCTAGACAATCTGTGGGCAAAACACATCTAGAACAATGTTTCAAATGCTGCTTTGCTGCCTATAATAAGCTAACTTAGCTATCTCTTCCCATACTTGCTCCTCTCAGTCCCGCCTATCCTTTTTACTTACTGAGGCCTTTTGTGAGATAGGCTTCTATACTACTTTCTTCCACCATCAGCAGGTAGTTATTTGTTTTTATACACTCCAGCTAGTCCTTCTTTCTGTCTTGGCTGTGAGAAGAGGTAGCACTGTGAGTAAATACTGTGCACCCACAATGGTTGCATTTAAGTGCTTAACTACAGAGAGTGCAGTGTTGTGTTCTGAAACCATCAAAGCATGGCACTCACTCCTTTCAAAGGAAACTGTCCATTAACTAGGTTGAAAGATATGTGTATAGATATATACCAAAATCCTGAAGATGCACATTGTTACTGTACACAAAAGGCTTGTGCCAGCCAGCATAATTATTGTGGAATAATCACTGTGTGTTGCCGTCTCCAACGCAGTTATAAATGGTTAATTTAGCATGTCAGGAATATAGATTTGTACAAAGCTGAATCCATGTTATATGAAATGCCCATAAGATGGTCTGCATGAACTCATGTTTCCCCCATTCCTTCTTTGCCACCTAAGCCATTTCCCAGCCACATAGTTCTTGTCTTTTATGTAGCAATGCTGCTGTACTGAAGGTTGAAGGGGAAACCAGCAGCAGCCCACAATTTTAGTGTTCCTCTGGTGCAGCAGCCCTTGTGCTACTTTTCCAATGCAGTGGCTCATAGAATTAGGTCATTAGTCACCTGGGACAGCTAAGGCACCCAGATTTTTGAATGTATTAGCTAGTGACAGTATAGTGAAGTATTTTTATGTCAAGACTGTGTTCTCTGAAGCCCACTCTTGCATTTTTCTGTCTTTTCAGACTTCAGGTCTCCTGAAAGAGAGCATTCCTCAAGCACCGCCATTTCTGAGAGCTGCACTTGTATTGACTGAAGAGCTGCAGTGACTTAGTAAGGCATGCCGTGCTACAACTCATGATGTTTTGCAAAAAGAAGTAATCAAAATCTTACATCTTAAAGTGGAAAAACAGCAGGCTGTTTGCTACACAGTAACAATGGCCACCTCAAGACTAGTAGCAAGAACACCTCGTGATATTGCTGGTGTGATGCAGAGACTCCAAGGTAAGCAACTTGACAGAGAACAGCTGAGCTTTGCTATATTAACTTCTTCCGATGTTACTGAAGTCTAGTGGAACACAGTGAGATAACTTGGCTCATTTCAGTATGGGCAAAGGCTTTGTTTTGGGCTGAAGTAGCCTTGGTTACTCTAATGGATGACCTTAGCCAGGGAGAGTGTGCTATTTTTGCTGACCTCATGGTGGCTTTTGATACCATCTGACATGGTACCTTATTGGACTGACTGGGTTGGGGGTTGGTATTGTGATGGCTCTGCTGCTTTCTGTAGGACTGGTTTCAGAATGTGGCATTTGGGGACTGTGGCTTGGCCCCGTGGTGGTTCTGCTGTGGAGTCCCACAGGGTTTCATCCTGTCTTCTCTGGTTGCTTTATGTCTGTATGAAGTTGCTGGGAGAAGCCATCAGGGGATTTGGTGTGTGGTGTTATCAATATGCAGACAACACCAATGTCTGTTTCTCCTTGTCATCTGTATCTGGAGAAGCTGTGCAGGCCCTGGACCAATGTCTGAACATGATGGAATAGATGAGAACCAATAGAATGAAGCTGAATACCAGCAAGATGCTGATCATGTGGGTTGGTGGTTTCCTAACTGGAATTAGGAACATGACTTGCTCTGAAAAAACAGGTTTGTAGTCTAGGGATACTCCTTGATCTAGGATTGTATTGTTCCTGGAGCACAAATAGCTTTAGTGCCTCTCTCAAGCTTTAGCTGGTTCACCAACTCTGGCTGCTCCTGGATAGGGACATCTTGACCACTGTGACCCATACACTGATAACCTTCCATGTTTAATACCATAATGTATGTGGAGGATTGTTCAGAAGCTGTTGCTAGTGAAAAATGCGGCAGCTAGATAGCTGAGAACGTAAGCTCCTCAGAATTATCTTATACCAATACTGAGAGGATTGTACAGACTGCCAATTTGCTACCAAGCCAGATTCAAGGTACTAGTAATAACTTACAAAATTGTAAAAAAAATGTGGGAACTTATATATTTGAAGCATCATCTCCCTCTGTGTCCATCTACCTTTGTGTTAAAAGCAGCAGCTAAAGCTCTCCTAGTTGATCCACATTCAATGGAAATATGGCATGTGGCAACTAAGAAAAGGGCCCTGTGGGGGAATCCAAATTATGGGACGCTCTTTCCCTTGAAGTATGATTGGCAGTAAGGCTGAGTTTCTGGTGCCAACTTCAGATGACTTATTCCAGTAGGGCTTTATGGGGGGGGGGTTGATATTGTTTTTGCTACTGGTTTCACTGTGGTTTTATCTGCTTATTTGACTACTGTAGTTGGGACTCGCTTCATTTTAATTTACAGTATTTAATCTATCCCACCCTGGGATCACTCTCTAAAAAAGAATCCATTAAAATATTTTTGGTAAATAAAATAGATTGTACATACTGTATGCTAATTAGTTCATAGAAGAGGAAAGGTGACTGTTTTATTCATGAAGAAAAGAACTATCATTTTTGACAGCAGCATGATGTGCTTAATTGAGATGTCTTCTATTGTTTACTATGTTGCTGCTCATAGTTGTAGTTATTTTAATTATGCAATTGTGTAGTTTTAGTGTTTGGCTTTATTGTCTTTTGTATTACTGTTTGGTAAGCGGCTTTGTTTTTAAAGCAAAAAATAGAATATAAATGTTAGATGATTTAAAGTAAAAAAGTAAATGAAAACCATAGCAAAAAAACCCCAAATCTTATTCCATCTGAAACCACATTGACCACCGCCACGACATCTGCTGCCTGGCCATTCACAGTGGCAGCAGTGGGAAATGATGGCGAGGCAGGCAGAACAAACTGATTGGGCCCAATGCCAGTGCTCAGACTTACCTCGCTTTCAAGAATGCCCCATTTCAGGGCTGTGCCAGGTTCTACTTGTGGGGCTATACCTGTGGGAGATTTGCTGAGCTGGCAGAAGTAAGTGGAGGGACACCAACCCCCCTCCCAGCCTGCTTTAAAGCAGATTTGGATTGCAGTTGAATTCAACTAAACAAACTAAATCAGATTCCAGTCATTGGGACGGGGGGAGAATCTCATGTCTCTGGTTATAGGTGGAACACATGGAAAATACTCTGTTCAATTGCGCTAAGGCAGTTCCATCAGCACAAGGATTTGCACAGTGGAAGCTTCTCCCTCTCTGCTCCCTCCACATGCCCCCTAAATCTGTTCTGGGAGTTTCCCCAACCCTCTGGTACAGATTTGGGAAGGTGCCAGGCCATGTGGGCGGAAGAGAGGAGAGAAGTCCCATTGCAGAAGCTGAATATTTTTGTGTTGAGAGAACATATTAGTAGAATACAACCCAAAGCTAATGTAGGGTATAATAAATATAGATATCTCATCTAGCAATGGGCCCAAAGCTTGAAAAGCTAGCTGCTAGTTCAAAACTGGCCAGTTGGCTACATTGGCTTAAGATCAGGGAATTAATATATGTGCATTTGTATCTAAGGCTCAGTTGGAGCTTGCTTGTCATTGGAACAATACTGCATTCAGCTTCTCTTGCTTCCAGCCCCACTATCACTTGGAGCTCTCCGTGGTACTAACCACTTCCCTGCTTTTATTATCTTAAACCTGACCTCTGCCTTTTTCTCTCACCACATTTCTTGAACTTTCTCCTTGCTGGTCATCAGGTAACCTTTTACTGCATTTAACAGTGTTTATCAGAACCTGAGTTGTGTTAGCTGAGTTGCCTTTCTGAATTTTTATGTGGGCCCTCAATATGGACTTATCAGTATTTTACGTCCCTGGAATTATGGCTCCATTGTGCCCCACTTGGATAGACCTCTTATCCCATCAGTAACTTTTGCTTGAAGCATTACATGAGTGCATTTTCAGTTTTCATCATTCTTTTGGAAATTTCTCAAACCGCTAATGACTCATTTATATAACTGATGATGCTTGAGAAGAAGGGAGGGTGGGGAAGGCAATAAACTGGCACATGGACATTTATGTTAGTGCACCCACAGTTTTCTAACCTGTTCGCTCATTTCGTTGCTCTAAAATAAAGAGGGTTTCCTTTGTATTGTCAGCATCTGGTTTCTGCTGCAAGATCAAACAGGAGTTAAATAAATATTTCACCTCTGCCAAGCTTGAGTACAGTTCTTTTTTTAGGCTGTGGTCCTGCATTATGGATGAGCATACAATCTGCAGTGCAGACTCTTTCTGGCCTTTATGAATTAAGAGTTTCAGCTCTAGTAGATGTCAGACATAAGTGATGAGGGAATTATAAATATCCCTGTAGACTTGAAAATGCTATGTCAGGTCTGCACAACTTGTACCCTATCAGCCCAGACACAATCCACTAATTATGTATCATGACCTGCAATTTTGCCATCCCTGGCAGGACTCTGGATCAAACAGATCTGCCCAACCTACATGGTTGTTTTAACATGCCCATTCTAGTGTTATAATCATATCTGCTTAAATTTGCAAAGTAAATTCAGTTATCTGTACTATTAACTCCTGCTGGCTCCACAGCAAAAAAGATGCTGTCTGTAGATTTGGTACTCTGCTCCATTCATGGTATAGGTCATCTACCAAGACAACCAAAAATGTTTCTTCCCATCTTCAGCTGGTGCAGAATTAAGCGGCCAGGTTGTTCACTGGGGCAAGGAAGTTTGAGCATATTATTCTGATCCTGGCCCAACTGCACTGGCTGCCAATTAGTTTCAGGGCACAATTCAAAGTTCTAGTTTTTACCTATAAAGCCTTAAATGGCTCGTGACTGCAATACATCAGGGGTCACTTCTCTCCAGATGAACCTACCCAGACCCTGTGAGCATCATCTGAGGCCCTTCTTCATGTGTCTCCTTCAGAAAAGATCTAGAGAGTGGGAAGACGAGAACAGGCCTTTTCTGCAGTGGCTCCCATTTGTGGAAAGCTCTCCCTAGAGAGGTTGGCCTAGAATTAAATAGTTGATAGGCTCCTTAAGATTATCTTGTCCACTCCTTTGCACAAAGCAAAACCTATCAATCTCAAAAAATTGAAACATGTTAGTTCATTTTATGTGTCATATTTGCATGTTGTTCTTCCTTAAAAGATCTTGGGGAAATAGACATAGGTCATCCTATTTAATGTTCACAATAGCCTAGTAATGGGAAGCTATAGGCTGAGACTGCAGTTCTTTAAGAATATAGCTCATGCCTACTTTGTCCCTGAAGCAGCCACCAGCTCAAGAATCACATGGCTCAATATCACATGACCAAAGTTTTCACATTCATTTCAGAACAATCATTGTTTTCCGCGTAATTCCAAAACAGAATGGGTGACTGTCTCAAGTGCCATATAGAGAATTCTCAACAGAACAGAAAGGCAATGGAGAAGAGGTAGAAATGGTGGCAGGATCTTATGTGCACTTTGTCTGATATAGAAAATATTTGCAAATAAGGGCTTAGATGGATTTTGGGGCAACCCAATAGTTTCCATCATTATGACTCCTTCCAGATGTTCTATATCTAGGCTAGGGAAGAATGTACTAAATAAACAACTATACCAGCATCCTTTTTTCTGTTATAAATTTTTCCACCACACACCTGCACCTTGAGAAACAATGAAGCCAAACCTGAGTTATAGGAATCATAGCAAAGTAGACAGATTGAGATCATTCATCCCCCAAGAGCAGTTCTTATCTGGGCAGCTAAGGAATACATGATTGTCCCTTAAAGCATTTCAAATCTAAATTTAATATACTTTTATGCATGGCCCACTTCCCAAAGAAGTGAAAACTCCAGGGGCGGGGTGTAACTAGGGTCTATTTTCTTTGGAATCAGATCACAGGAGGCTTACTGGTGTTTTGTTACACACATACACACACACTTATACAGGTGGAGCATAGGTGAAGATGCCGCTTAAGTCAAATAGATGTCCAAAATTCACTCTCCCCATCAGATATTTAAGGGAACCACTTGCAGCACAGATCCTTACAGTGAGCAACTTGGCCTTCTGTGTCCTTGTATTAGTTTCAACTCAGTTTGTCTCTCTGCTCC